ACTTAACTGGTAGAGAAAATAAGCCAGGCCACAAAGCTGCATGTCAGATGGGAGAAGTAACCCTTGGAACCTGCTGTGGGTCCTCATGGGTAGTGAAGCTGGGGTTGATTCCTGATAACACGGGAAGAGCTAATGAAAAGTCCACTGTGACACATCTTCACTCAGTGCTATCTTTTGAAGTGCACTTTGAGGTGTTGTTTTGTCTACTTAGACTATCTAAAATATTTCCTGTGAACAGCTCCAGGATAATTTTTAGGCTGGAATTAAAAAGTTGCTTTTTAGCTACTTTTGCTTGTAATAAGATAATTTTGCTATTGAAAGTTATTTGAAAATCTTTTACTGTGGACTTCTCTCTCAAATGTAAATACCTGTGAGTTATTGCTTAGCTCAGAGACAGGTATCAGTGTTTTGAAATCTATGTCACCACAGGGCTTGTGATGATAGAGAATTAATAAGTAGGGAAAAATAGAGATGTACAAATGTTGAGTGTGAGGATGTATTTTGGTAAGAAGGGAGTTTGTACGGTAAGATTTTGCCCTACCAGATTGAAAAAAGAAATGTGAAGACAAGAGAGTAACGTGTAAGTACTCAACAGTTTGCGGACAATGAGCTGCACAAAAGGAAAGGTCTTTGGCTGTTCTGTTTTTGCTCTTGTTGGTCCTGTTAATCCTAGGATTTAATCCTCTTAGACCTTTGTTGCCAAATGAGGGTAAAAAGCCTATGACATTGACTCTCATTCTGCACTTGTCCATCAGTGTAGGACCAGGTAAGATCAAGAACTGTGACAGGATTCTACAGATGACAGACAGTGGAAATAATTAATCAGTAATGCTTTCACAGAGACTCTTATAAGGACAAATGGGGTAATATACCAAAAGCAAGAGTTGTAAAAATCAAAATGGAATCACTCATGTCAGCCCTACCAAAGGTAAACAGGTTGTAAAGGATCCTTAGGTGTGAATGACTGATGGTAACTGCTACAAAATACTCTGCTAAAATTCTGTTTGTTCTGAATCCATTTCATTGTCCCTTAACAGACCTGCCATTGGAGAACCTGGATATTGACATTCTCAAGAACAACCTTATGGTAGCAGTGGCTATGAAGTCAGGGTACACCCTTCATAACAAAGTTCCTGAGGGTATTAATGAGAAAGGCAGTGATACATACTCTATCATATCACCCTTCAGCTGTCCAGTGGATCCTTACCAGATGCTGATGCTGTGCCAGGCTTCAACATAACATCAACCATTGGGCCTTGACAGTGCTTGCTGAGATGAGCAGTTTCTCAGAAGGTTGGGATGGGAATGGGGTACACATCACGAATTCCAAAGGCTCTACTTTTCTTTGTTTTTTTCTGGTTACCACAAATTCAGGAGCTTCACAAAAGGGATTAGAAACTTCACCTGTGCTGTAGAGCACAAGTTGTCCTCTGCTGGATACGTAAGCCCTCATGAACTCAGTTAGTTGCCAAGTTGCACTTGTTTGAGTCATGAGTATTTTCTCAGTTTGGAGGCAGATGTTACTTTTACATTTTCTCTGGCAAATTAATAGGATAGCAGATGACTGGTATCATAATTTCAAATCATTATTACCTATCGTCACACACAGGGTCTCAGTTGCCAAAATGGCACTAAATGTGTTCCTCCTGTCTCATTCTACCAAGTGGCTGGGATTATAGACATGTACCATGACACCAGGCCCAAAAACTCTTTAGTGGAAACAGCAATAAATATTAAGTCACTGACGTTGTTCCAAATGGAACATGCAGTGTTCCTCACTACATGAGGTAAGGCCTTTCATTTTACTGATGTCTTTTTACAACTATGAAAATCCTGTAAGAAAAAAACATCCACAGTTTGGAACTTTTCAGGTTAAAATTCAAACATAAGGAGCCTTTCCAGAAAATTTTCAAAGAATGGTGTATTTCATATGGCAATTTACATTGCAGCTTTGACATGTATCATGAATGTTAACATAGTTTAACTTGTAATTATTCTGCAGTATGCAAGACAGAAATTTATCCTTGGATAGACTTACTCTTTGTATTAATTTTATCATATGGGCTACACTGTGAGAATTAGTTAAATTATGACAGCATTGTATTTGTAAGAGTTCTTTGCAGGATGAATTGTTTAGAGAATCCCAAGGATACATCTGTGAGGAATGAACTTTTTGTGTTGGAAACAGGGTCAGTTCAGGGTGGCCTATGTAGCCCAGGCCAGCCTCAAACTTGCATTTAGCCTGCATCAGCTTCCCAAGTGCCAGGATTACAGGAATGTACTACCACAGTTGGCAAAAGTGAACTTACTAAGTGCACTGTACTTGTTTGGCTTCCCTCCAGAACAACTCTTTTATGACAATAAAATGAACATTTGATAAAAGATTCAGAATATTGATTCTACCTGTAAGGTTGCTCCCCAGTTCCATTCAATAGATTTGATGCTTAGTTAACAATCTTAGCATGCCTATGACCTTCTATGGTGTCTTCAAAGATATATCACTTGATGCCTAGTGAATTTTGAAGCTTGAAAATCTGTTGTATATGCATTTAATTTTTAAATAACTGCTGCTCTTTAGTAGGGATGGGGATGTTGATTATTGCTAGAATTCATGAAGTTTTAGTCACCGTCACTGCATTTGTAAAATATCACTCATGTACAAATTCTGCAGGGTTATGCAAGGTATGAACTGCAGCACATATAACAGACACCACCAGACTTGTGTAAAGGCAATGTGACATGGAATTTATTGTACCTGGGCTCAGGCAGAGTGTGATAAGACCTTCTGCTCTGAACAAGGAGAAGTGTGTCCCTTTGATAGGGATGGAGAGAAGGCAGGGCACATTAGGCGGGAAGGTCCCCATGAACATCGCTGGTTAAGGTTTTCCAGCAATCTTGCATCTCAGTGGGCAGAGTCCTCTGAAGTGTACCATGTGAATTCTGTGGTGTCTCCAGATGTCCCCATGACTTGCAAAACTCCTTGCTCTATCATATCTCCTTTCCTGTGCTTGTGGATGATAGCCTCAGGTGCTGAGCTGAGTTCCCTGCAGAGTGCTTCTGCTGGCAAGGAGGCTGATGCCTAGGAGAGTCACACCTGGTTGGAGACTTACATTCCCATCTTGTAGTTATTAGAAAAGAAAAGGGAAATGGGTGTCAGTTCTCATGGCTTTTTCCTTCATATCATATGGGCTGAGTGGGCAACCTATGGGAGAGAAATCTTGAGGAACAGGGCTGTATCAAAGAGAAGTCAGCACCATCTGTCGGTAATCACTTACATATGATTCTGTAAAAAACTGAGAAAAGTCTGAGAAGACATGGAAATCCAGCCATGTGGAGGGACTGGAATGGCTATACAGGTTGCTGCTGACATTGAAATGCAGAGCCAACAGTCTTTGGGTAGGGTAGGATTGTAGTAGTTTAGTAAAAAATGAGTTAAGTTTTTGTAAAGGTGACTTGGATTTAGTGAGTGAAGCTGCGAGTCATAGGAATTGGGGTAAAGGTTGTGGGGAAGGGGAAGGAGGTTTAATTAGGGCTGTGGTAAACACAAGCAGGAGGGTAAATATTTCATCCAAGGTAAGGGACAACTGAATTAGAATTGCAGCAAAATTTGAGAGTAAGATCTACAGAAAATGTATAATAAAATGGCCTATTATAAAGGAGCTAAGGAGATACAGGGAACTTTAGAATCTGGTATGACCCTAACTTGTCATTTTAATATCTTGAATAGCCATAGATACATTAGGAGAATCAGAACTGTTAGATAGCATTTAGCTTTCATAATAGCATAACTATTATTTTGTCTTGTCAGAATGTCTAACGTCATTTGATTTTGGAGTACATCTTATTAACATATGTGTGTGTATATATATATACACATATATATATATATATATACACACACATATACATACAGTCATCCCTTGCTATATCACAGTTCACTTATTGGGGCTTCACTGTATCACAGGTTTTTTAAAAAAAATCTAATTCTGTATCATGGGGTTTTTTGCTATATCGCAGGATTTTGTGGTATATGATATTTATGATTTTAATTATTTTTGCCTAAAAATTTAACACTATAAAAATGTTAATTCAAAGATTAAATCGAAGTAAAATACAGTATGCATATCATCAGATGAATACTGTACTGTACACAATGGAAATGCAGTACACCACTACCACTATTAAAATTATGTAGGTTTACAAGTGCAGAAAGTGTTTCAGAGCATATGAAGTGTTTGTAAGTATGTGGGAAATGTTAATAGGAGAGTGGGAAAAAAAGTTTATAGGAGTGTGGGGTTTATAAAGCCGTAAAATATAGATAAACAATAAAATAAGTATAATGCCACTACTTTGCAGTTTCACCTACTGCTGGGGTCTCTGGAATGTACCTCCCATGATAGGAGGAGCACTGTATATTCAAATTTAGGAAAGAGAACAGTTATGATGTCTTTTATAGTAAACAATTGTTATTTTAGAGGACATATACACAGATGACAAGTTTTTTTAGATCATACATGCCTCTAAAAAGGAAAGTAAAAAGTGGTGGGAAAAGATCAGAAATGAGACCAGACCAGAAAGGAAACTGAAGCAGAACAGGTTTGACATTTCCTCTAGAGTGCAGAGAAGGATCAGGCCAGTTTGTGTCAGTGAAACCTGTCCTCCAAAACTAAAGAACAGTCACCGACCTAGTGTCATTTAACTGGTAGACATCCCATGGTTTATTAATAGACATGCATATATATATACACATACACACACACACACATATATGTATTTTGTTGTTGTTGTTATCTAAAATAAGATTAAAACCCACAAGCTAGGCGTGGTGGTGCACACCTGTAATCCCAGCACTTGGGAGGCTGAGGCAGGAGGATTGTTGCAAGTTCGAGGCCTGCCTGGGCTACAAAGTGAGCTCAAGGCCAGCCTGAACTGCAGAGCAAAACCCTGTATTAAAAAGAAAAAAAAAAAAAAAAAAAAAAAAAGATTAAAACCCACAGCAGTTACAAGTCAAGTGCTTTAATCAAGTTTAAATGTAATATATATATATACAACAAATGTAAGACCTTGTTCACAAGAACAAAACATCCTTTAAAGAAACACCATAAAATGATTTATAAATGGCACAAACAATGGCAAACATGAACATGATTACCTAACATAATTTAGCAATTAGGAAACAAAAATAAACTCGTATCTCTTGTTATTTGTTATGGAAAACTTAAAAGCACTGTGTTCTGCTCACTGAGAGCCATTTGGGCTTCAGATCAGGAGGGAGAAGTCTGAGAATCTGCAGAAGGCAGGCCAGCAGAGGCAGGGAGAGATGGACAGTTTTCTAGTTGAGTACAGAGAAGTGTGGGAGAACAAGGCAGGAAAATTTCCCACTGGGAGCAGAGAAAGGTAACTGTCACACCAGGTGAGGCAAAACAAGTGGCTGCAGGGCCTATACTGAATGTCTTCAGTTAAAGCCAAGGCCATAAAGGAGAGTGGGTGAAAATCCCAAGGCAGCTGTCACAGCTACTGGTCAACAGACAAGGGGAGCCAGTCTCCCCAGGGAAGGACCACGTGTGGGTATTGCCAGGTTACCCAGGCTTGGAAGGAGAAGGAAGTTTTTCCCAAGAGGTAAGACACAGAATTTCAAAGCACTCAACTGCAAAGAGGGAGTTTCAGCAGAGATGGGGTTAAGTTTCAGAGAGAAAAACCCTCAGAGCCAAAAGTGACAGCTCTGGGAGCTGAAAGCGCTGCCAGTACAACAGTGGGGAGGCGGTCAGGGGCCTTAAAGGTACAGAGTGTTAAAAGTCCAGAGGGGAGCAAGCTAACCCAATCTGGAGCAGTCAGCATGGTGAGAACTGGGGAGCTGCCTGGGTTTAGATCGTTGTGGTGGCAGGGGGCGTACCCAACCTGAAATGCCCAGTGAGATCTGGCATGGAAGCAGCAGCAAGAGCTGTAGGAATTGATCTGAGGATGTTGCCAGGTGGCCTTAGCTTGGATAGAGGATCAAGAGAGGTTTAAGCCTTTCAAAAGGAGCTTGTCTCCCTTCCGGGTCTTGGCTCCAAAATGTAACATGAGCAGCAGAGACCACCAGGCTTGTGCAAAAGCAACATGGCATGGAATTTATTGTGCCCGGGTTCAGGCAGAGCGCATGATGAGACCTTCTGCCCCAAACAAAGAGAAGTGTATCCCTTTCATAGGGATGGAGAAAAGGCAGGGCACATTGGACAGGAAAGTCCCAATGAACATCTCTGGTTAAAGTTTTCTAGCAGTCTTGCATCTCAGTGGGCAGAGTCCTCTGAAGTGTCCCATGTGAATTTTCTGGTGTCTCTAGTTGTCCCTAGGACCTGCAAAACTCCTTGCTCTATCTTATCTCCTTTCCTGTGCTTGTGGATAACAGCCTCAGGAGCTGAGCTGAGTTCCCTGCAGAGCAGTGCTTCTGCTGGCAAGGAGGCTGGGAACTGGGGCAGTCAGGACAGATGCAGACTTACATGAATACCCATATTCATCACATTTGTATAGTTTTACTGCAGTATGAGTTATCTGATGTGTACTGAAGTGAGTCTGAAGGCAGATTTCCCAAACATGTAACATTTTTCTAAAGTTTTAGTTGAGGGTACATTTTCTGATGTGTACTAAGGATTTAGTACACATCCTAAAAGATTTGCTACTCTCACTCCATTTGTGAGATTCCTTTCCAGTTTGAATTTTTTGGTGCATAGTAACACTGGATTTTCACCTGAAGGCATAGTTTTACCCAGTACATTGGTAAGGTTTCTCTCCACTGTGGATTAGCTTATGGTTAGTAGATCAAAGGTTTGCCCTCCTACACAGGAAAATTATCTTCCCAGCCAGAACTTTCCAGTGTTTTCTAAGGCTCAAAAATGACTGAAGATTTTGGCTGCATTTCTCAGCTGTCTCCAGGACCAAATCTCCAATGAATCTCAAGTTAGAAATTGTCACAGAAGACCTTGCGTTATTTTTCCAGTATGGATTACATGCTTAGTTAGGCTTAAACACACACTAACAGCTTTGCTACACTCACTGAATTTGTTAAAAGATTTTTATCCCCATTCAGTGCTGTGGTGTACAAGGAATCAAATTTGAGTGAAGATCTTAACACATTCATTACATTTTTAAAGTTTCTCTCCAGTATGGATACTTTGATGCTTTGCTAAGGATGACCGGTACCTGAAAACATTGGCACATTCATTGCACTTGTACGGTTTCTCTCCAGTATGGATTCTCTGATGACTTACTAGGTACGACTTGTGCCTGAAGACCTTACCACACTCATCACATTTGAAAGGTTTTTCTCCAGTATGAATTAGTAGATGTCGTGTAAGGTAGCAATTGTGACTAAAGACCTTGCCGCATTCATTACATCTGAAAGGTTTCTCTCCACTGTGAATTGTTTGATGTTGGGCAAGGTGTGAAATTTCATCAAATACCTTCTCACAATGATTACATTTGTAAGGTTTCTCTCCAGTGTGGATTCTCTGGTGCTTTGCCAGGTATGACTTGTGACTGAAGACCTTGCCACATTCATTACATCTGAAAGGTTTTTCTCCAGTATGAATTCGCCGATGTTGTGCAAGGTAGCAATTTCGACTAAATATCTTGCCACATTCATTACATTTGAAAGGTTTGTCTCCAGTGTGAATTGTCTGATGTTGGTCAAGGTGTGAAATTTGATGGAATACTTTTCCACATTCACTGCATTTGTATGGCTTCTCGCCGCTGTGAATTGCACAATGATTGGCAAGGTGTGTTATCTGATTGAAGACTTTGCCACATTCATTACATTTGTAAGCTCTCTCTTTAGTATGAGTTCTCCAATGCCGTGCCAGAGAGGAGTTCAGACTGAACACTTTGCTACATTCATTACACTTGTAAGGTTTCTCTCCAGTATGAATTCTTCGATGACATATAAGGTATGAATTCTGATTAAAGACCTTTCCACACTCATTACACTTATAAGGCTTCTCTCCAGTATGAATGCGATGATGACGTGCAAGGTGGGAACTACGACTGAACACTTTGCCACACTCACTACATTTGAAAGGTTTCTGTCCAGTGTGAATTATCTGATGTTCTGCAAGGTGTGAGTTACAACTGAACACTTTACCACACTGATTACATTCGTAAGGTTTCTCTCCAGTGTGGACTCTTTGATGCCTTGCTAGGGATGTCCTGTGACTGAACAGTTTACCACATTGAGTACATTCGTAAGGTTTTTCTCCAGTATGGATTCTCTGATGATTTGCCAGGTATGACCTGTGACTAAAGACCCTGTCACATTCATTACATTTATAAGATTTTTCTCCAGTATGAATGATCAGATGTTGTGTAAGGTAACGACTGTGACTAAAGACCTTGTCACATTTATTGCATTGGAAAGGTTTCTCTCCAGAATGGATTCCCTGATGATTTGCTAGGTGTGACTTACGAGTAAAGACCCTGTCACATTCATTACATTTATAAGATTTTTCTCCAGTATGAATGATCAGATGTTGTGCAAGGTAGCGACTGTGACTAAAGACCTTGCCACATTTATTGCACTGGAAAGGTTTCTCTCCCGAATGGATTCCCTGATGATTTGCTACGTGTGAATTTGGAGTAAAGACCTGGTCATATTCATTACATATGAAATGTTTCTCTCCAGTGTGCATTCTCCAGTGACTTACCAGGTGTGATATCTGATTAAAGACCTTGCCACATACATCACATAGAAATTGTTTCTCTCCAGCATGGACTGTTTGATGCATAGTAAAGCATGAGCCTTGATTAAAAGATTTGCCACACTCATTCCATTTGTAAGGTTTTGTACCAATGGGCATCACCGATTCTTGTGTGAAAAATAAAGAATCAAGAAAGTCATTTTCATATTCATGAAAAATGTTTGTTTTGACACTAGAAGGATCTGTTTGGTGGGGTGAAACTGAGGGATCACTGCCAATAGACTGTTTGGTGCAACTCCACTCACTGATGTTCCTTTCTGTTTCAAACAGCTGTTGTTCAGGCAGATATGATGGAAAGCTTACCTTAAGCCAATTTTTAATATGTTCCTTCTCTGTAGCCCTTCTACGATATTCATGTCTTGTATCAGTGAGATTTTCCTTGTATGTCCCATACAATCCTGTGTCAAGTCTCTTATCCTCTCTCCAATGAGTCTTAAAGTCATGTATATTTTTCTGGATTTTGTTGAAGCACAGTTCTTCAATGTGACGGGTTTTATGCCTTTCCAACGTGACCGTCTGAAACATTTCTCCTGTATCACTTTTCCTTTTTGGTGGAAATTCTTTGATGGTACATTGAAGAGAAGTATCTAGGAAATGTAAGAAATCATTGGGTTTTGTTTATTACTGGTTGGCAGATAAACTGTTATGTAAGCACGTGACACTAAACCTAAAGAAATAATGCTAACGGAACAGTTATGAAATGTCATGATTTTCAGATGTTAGGACAACAAAAGGAATAAGAAAAGTTTGATTACATGTAATTCAAATCAACTACAGAAATGCTCAGTGTGAAACAAAGTATGACCAAAACACTGACATTACATAAATTTATTCAATGGGTACCTTGCTATTGTAATTGTCAGTCCCTGAAGTGGTAAGAAAGACATCTGTGTGGTTTAAGCATACCAGTCTGTTACTTCTAATGGAAGATGGAAGTAAACGAGACATGAAAAGCATCGTCTCATCACGGAAAGTACAGAAGAGTGATCAGTTTTACTAAACAAAGGAACTTTGAAATGTTTACTATAGTTACTTTAGTTCACCATTTCACAGCACTATTTTTTTAAAAAGTAAGTTATCATTACTTTTAAGGACAGTAGGTCAAAACATTTATGTTTCCAGTTCTAACTGATACAGAGTGTGAGAGAAAAAGGATTTGATTAGTGGCCAGCAGATGCAAACATGTTCTCAAAGATTCACAGAAGCAGTATATAGCATAACACGTTAGCAAACACAAGGAGCACGGAAAGTACTATTTCAAAAGAGAAGGGCTGTGCTGTGAACAGTGCTGCTTAGCCACCCCTCACAGAAAGTCATCAACATTGGACTTATTTATTTAGACAGTGTCCCGAGAACAGCTAAGAAATGAGTAGATGTCCTTCCTTACACTGTGAGGTTCATATAGGAGTCCTTTGCATATTGCAGTGTGTAGAAGAACAGTTACATACTAAGAAGTAACAGATCAACAAACATGAGAAACAGGCAGCATAGAAAAAGACAAATACATAGGGCAAGGAATAACAGGCAGGAGGAAGCCAAGGTTGTGCTGGTAAATCTGTGGAACTGTACTGGCACTGGGGCAGTTAATATCCCTACCTCTGTGAGAAAGAGAAACAGATGTAACAAGTGGCAGAAAACGGTCCCGTTCTTAACTGTGGGAATGAGTGTTCAGGGGTGTGTGGTGGGGGAGAAGGATGGAACAGCATTATTAGTAGGGTAGCAGTGTGATAGCACAGAGGAAAGCAGATTTACATCTCCTAAGATATCTGTAATGAAATTTTTCATAATGAGTTACCTGTAAGTTGTATGCATATTTAACAAAATCTAATTGATATATTCTGAGAATCTGTGCAGAAACAGTCTAAGCAGGAAATGAAAGCAAAACCCTCGAAATAGCCAAGAAGAGGAGATGGTAAATTACTTCTGTTCCCACATAGAAAGTCGATTTAACTTTTATCATACAGCAATCTAGGGAGACAATGAATTCACAGTCATGATTCTCTGGCTAAGGAGATAGAAACAGTTTTGAAGAAACGAGTCTAATATTAATCACATTAGCAAAATTGAAAAACAAACCAGAAACAGAAAAGAAAGATGAAAACAGCTACCAACTCTTGAGGACCTCCCAAGCACTGCCATGGCACAGCTCAGTGATCAAGGACAACCCTTGAGGTGCTGCCCGCGAAGGGACTAATGCAAGTCTGGCAGTGACTGAGTTCTCATTCAAGTGTGGTGTTACAAAGTGCACTATCGACCCCTAACGCAGACATCCTGTTTCACCATATGATCTCTTCTGCACATGATCCTGCCAAAATGCCCGCCCCAGAGGATGAACAAACAGGAACACTGATCTTTAGATCCCAAAACTGTGAGCTAAATAACCTTTTCTTCATGTATTATTCAGCTTCAGTGATTTTGTTATAGCAGCAGAAAACAGGAAAGCCTGCATAGATGGAATATCATTCAGCCTTTAAAGGGACAGAAATCCTATTATATGAAATAAGGTAAATCTACAGGATATTATATTAAATGAATACAGAGTCATGAAAACACAAACACCAAAGAAGTCCATATATATGAAACTTGTAAGAGAGTCAAATTCATAGGAACAAAAAGAAGGCAGTTGCCAACAGCAAAGGAATAGTGGAATTAAGTACTCATCTAAATGAACTGAATGAAATTTAAGGAACAAGAAAAATATATTCTAATTCTGGCAAGCTCATATAATACACAGTGGTATCTGGTTTCACAAGCTTAATTTGTTTTATGATTTGGGGGAAGATGTCCTTGGTTGAGTTTGTCATGTGAAATGGAGTTTGTGAATGGAAGCAAAATTTTCTCACATGCTTTTGTTTGAGAACCAAATTGTTTGTGAACAGAAGGACTTATGTGTCATGGTATTACTGTAATATAAAATTCATTGGACAGTGTTATGATCTGCGTCTGGGTGTCCCCCCAAAGCCTCATGTGGTCATGGGGCAGGCTTTTAGAGTTTGATTGATTATGGGTGTGAGACCTACACCCGCCCTGGGGTGAATAGTTAGCATATGTCAGGGAGAGGAAAGAGGCTGCTTCTGGCCATTCCTCGCTGTAGTGTTTGTTGCTTTTGCTGTGTTCTGCCACCATGAGCTGTAGCTCTCTGCCATGTGCCACTCTGCCTTGTAACCTGCCAAGTATGGACTGAAACCTCCACAAACTGTAAGCTAAATAATCCTTTCCTTCCTTCATTTTGAGCATCAGGTATTCTGTCCCAGCAACGAGAGAAAAGTAACCAAGACAGAATTTGGTACCACAGGAGTGGGGTCGTTGCTGTGACTATATCTGACCATGTGGTTCAACAGCCTTTGGAAATGGCTTGTGGAAAGTGTTTGGAAAGGTTTGGGGTTGTCGCCTGAAAGAGAAGTGCTAGAACACCTTTGGTTGTTCTGTCTGGGAGATTCTGGTCAGAGCTCAGAAGCCCAGAGGACTGATAGAAATTCTGCCGGTAAAGACCGGATTCGGGAAGTCCTGTTGGGAAGAAGGACTCCACTGATTGTTGGACTCCAAACAATGTATGTTATGGCTTGGCAGAAAGTTTGTCTGCATTTTGCTCATGTCCAGAGACTTTGCCTAAGACTGAGATTAAGGGCGGCAGCGGAGTGATTGATCTGGCAAAAGAAATTTCAAGGCAGTCAAACGTTGGGGCAGTGGCATGGCTATTGTTGGGGGCTTTTAGCCAGATTTATATTGAGAATCAAGAACAAAGAGCCCAG